AGTCTTGCTTCTCATGTGAGATGCATGCAACATGCTGCATCTACTGGAGTACCCTCCTGGAAATTTTTTGTTATTCCTAAAGAAAATAAGCAAGCTGCCCCTCTCCCCAAGCCAAACCAAACAAGCCTGTGAGACTTGAAATTTGCAAGAATCAGACCCTGAATCTTACAGGACTTGAACCAGTCCACTCCCAAAGGCAATCTCTGAAAACATGCTTCCCAGCACAGCCATCTTCTTGCCTCATTTTCTGATGTTTTCCTTCCAGACTGTGCAGGGCTGGAGCCTATCGGTTTCAAGAGCACGCAGCTGCTGACATAAGATTGTAAGAAGCTCTACATTGCAGGTTTCCCTTTCTGAATTGCCTTTGGCTGCTTTTCAAAGACTGCTACATCCCAAGTGCTAAGGAAAACACCTTCTCCCTTGCTCCCCCCCACCACAGCATCACAGCCTGCACAGTCAGAGTGAGGATCACAGCTCTCAGCACACCTCCCCGCTCCAAGAGCTTTCCAGCTGCTCCAAAGCATCTAGTGGTTTTTTTGGTCAAGCAAGAACCTAGCCAGGTTCAGAACCATAGAACCAAGAACCATACCCTCCCAGGCAGCAGTATGGGTTGCCAGTTCCTGTCCTCCCAACACCTTTGCTTAAATAGCATTGCTGCACCACAGGATGCAACTTGTATCTCTGGTTTGGCCTCAGGCATGCAAACTTCTTGAGGCAGTAGACATGTTAACTCCTCCTCTGTTAGCAAGCACGTCCGGATCTTTCTTCCCCTTCTCCCCAGAGAGGCTCAAAAATATCATACAGGTCACAGAAGGGGACTGAATGCTGGCTTCCGACTTTTCAAACAGAAACAGGCAGAGGGCTTATCTGAAAACACACAGAGAGAAGGTCTTTAAGTGTAAAGGAGTCCGTGGCATTTGGGATGTCAGCAGGAGAACCGCCCCACTCTCACAACCCCCGCCTCCAGGCCAGCTCCGTGCCTGAAACCATGCCCAGCATGGGAGATGCTGGAAATGAAAAGCAAAGAAAATCGCTCGGCTGTTCACGCTCGCTTAAAGTGAATACTCTTGGCAAGTTTTAAGCCTAGAAAGGTTTTAAACATTGCGTCTTCCTGGTGTGCTCCTATGATGATACAGCGGGCGTGCGGGCAACCATGAATCACAACTGCTTGCTCCCTACAGACCCATTATGAGACACACATCTCTGACCAAGATGTCATGGTAGGTGCTTTCTGTATACAGGGCAGATAAGACAAAAGACCTCAGGGGAGATGCACATCTCTGTCTAGAGTGACAGCGTTACTTAATCATCCAGCTTGGTGAAATCGCTGAGAAAAAAACACATCACACGGTTGTCACTTGAAAAGCAAACTTCAATATTAGCGGCACACGCAGACTGCTCTCTGGAAACCATCTAAAAAGGGGCATTAGGTGGCAGTTTTAAAAATATGAAAACTTGAGCAAAACCACGAACAAGACAAGGATGGCTATCTCAATCCTATCATTGCCACTTATGAATTATTCACTGGGCTCCAGCCCACGTGCACAAGGCACACTTTTTAATGCGCTGTGAGAGTGTATTACAGGTGCCTGCCTGCCACCTATGCTGGGAAGTCCCTCAGGCACATATTTTGCAGCAATCCCACAGGGGAGAACCATGTTTTGGCCAGCCCGCGTGCCTGCGAAGGGAATGACGTCCCCCGTTTGCCTGCAGCAGCTCTAGGGTAGTCATGATGGAGGCCAGTGCACTTTCCACCTCCCCTGGCTTCTGCCATTTCTCACCCTTTCTAGATACATGTTTTCCAGCAGAAAACATCCGCAAAATCCCACAGAAACAACAGAGGTTTGGGGCTTGCAAGAGGGTGACAGGAGAACTAGTCCTGTATCCGGAGCCTAAGGCAACTGTGTCCTGCGTGGCCCGGTCCCATCCCAAGTACCATCAGGTCCCCAGCAAGTGTCGGGGAGCAGAAGCATGCTGGGGTCACCAGCTGAGATTAGCTGACCTGCCTCCCCTTGTGCACAAAACATTGCTGTTTCCTTGCTGTATTTCCAAATCTGATTTCAAAAGTTCAGAGGAAAATTACATCAGTCTGAAAATGCCACTGATTGCCGATGTCAATTCTTTTTCTCGTTATTTCAAACTGGGGAGAGAGGAAGGGGAACAAATTATTTTGGAGAAAACCCCATATTTTTCAGGAAGCAATCCCTTTGAGACCCAAACCAGAGATTGTTTCTGCTGCCAAAAGCTCCCCTGCACAGAAGTGGTAGTGCACCCAGCACCCCGCTGCCTGTGCATTCTCTACAGTCCTGAAATTAGCATGGTATTTTCGGGATGGACAAAAGCCAAACCAACAAAACAGATCCTGGCATTCCTCTGCAGTGCTGGGTTAGTGAATACCTGCCAGCGGGACTCCAGCAGCCAGACCTATCCCACAGCATGCAATTTTTTCATTTTCTGCAGCCAGCAGTTCTTGTAGCAGGATTTCTCCTACTGCTGCAGTTGGCCTTGTGTCACACTACCTTTAGTGACTCAACTTCATTACACCAGCCTTCATAAAAATATACCATCAGAAAACCTGTGCGAGGGAAAGGATGAGGCCCCAGAGCTGCATCTCTTGGTGGTAATTTCAGGGGGAAGATGAGTGGGATGAGACTCCCTGATGCTGCATATGCCCTGCCTGCTCTTATTTGAGAGAGGATTTTTCAGAGATATCCAGCATCTTTGGGCATGGCCAGGCATGGACCACTTCAGCTGCACACCTCCATTACTTGCCTCAAAGGACAGTTTTCGGAGGCACCTTAAGAAAACAGATATCCACTTTCCATGCTTGGCAGCTAGTCTGATTTGCAAAGTGCCCCTCTACGGCTGCTTTATTTCTGGCATGGACAAACCAATGATCACCCCTGGGAGTGCCGCAAGAGCACATTACTGGGAAGCACATTTGATGCTACAGCTCCAGCAGACAGGCCTGGTTCTCCTCCTGAACGAGTAGTGGGACCAGCCAGAGAGACAAGAAAATACAGTCACCACTCCTTGCTTTGGACAGAGGTTTGATTCAACGTCCTGTTGAATCAACATGAGAGCATAGAGATGCAATTTCAACAACACGTGAATTAAACACTCATGGCTTGATCCATTAGTATCTCCCTTGATTGTGGCTCCACCAGGGTAAACAGCAAGACTGAACCAGAAGCTACACTTACCCACTTGTCCTTAGCATGAGCCACGTTCATCACAGGTCTACCATTTCCTATAACGTACCTTTCTATACAAGGCTGGAAGCGACAACTGTGCAAGGGGGTTATTCTTGGCCTGATGCACAGGAAGGCAGCTACGTGGATAAATCCTGCTGCAACTATGGGAAGTTTGGGACGTAACTCACAAACCAGGACCATTTCCTCACAGTCTGCACTGATCAGCAATATATCATCTCCTCTCGTGCAGCTACGTTTACTGAGGTTTATGTGGATTTAACTCCACACATCAGGGAAAATCCAATACCAGCAATGAAATACTAATGCAAATCCACTAACAGGAAAATCTACTTTTTCCAGCAACAGAGTTACTGGCAGCAGCTTTCACAATGGGAAAACAGTAAACAGCATTAGGAACATGACACCCACTGATTTGCATTAAACAGCTGCCTTCAACAGGTGTCATGCTGCCATCCACTGATGTTCCTCCAGAAGATTTCCTGCCACAGCCATCAGCAGCAACCCCGGCATGCCTTTATTTCCTCTCCTTGAGATATATCCGAACGATTTGTCCAACACTTCAACAATCCAGTCTAATTACCAGAACAGGTATCTGATGAAGCGCGATGCAATCGCACTCTCTTGTTGCTGGCTGCCACGCCCACGCACGTACACCTGGGTAGCAGGAACGAAATGCAGCCCTGCTCCAGCTACCATTCTTCTGCTCCGCAGTGAGGATCTGCCAATCTCCATCTAGCTGTTACGCTGCATACTGCACCGGGTTTCCTGGCTAAGCCTTGTCTGTAAGGAGAAGGTAAAGGGTGGCTCTGGTGATCTGGCAGCACAGTCCTCACGGTCCCAAATGACACCGGTTCACATTCCTGGAAGGCTTCCGCAGCGGACAAGTGCCACTGGGGAGCCCTGAATAAAATGACAGGAAGCAAGCCAGGTAGGCAAAGGGACAGACCCTAAAACACAGAGCATGAGGGACAAGAGAAGAAGGATAGAAAGGTCTCCAGGGCTTACAGAAGCTGCTTGATGTGGCTGGTGTGTTGATGTGCATGGAAGGAGATGTAATCATGTTTTTGCCTCCCATCACACCTCCAAATGACGGGGGACAATGGCAACTCCCTGCCTGTGTCCAAGGCAACAGATCTTTTCAACCACTGGGCAAAGGAAGGGCAGACAGATCTGAGCCCTGGACAAAGGAAAAAATCAGTCTACATGATCTCTGCCTGTACAGTGCAAAACCAAGAAGGACACAGTATGCAATGACATCTCAGCCCTACCTTGTTGGAGAAGCTGTGACAACATACCATATCTCACCAGCCTGAGTCCAGTCACTTTAGCATCAGAGTGCAGAAGAGGGATTAAATTTCCTAAAGTCACTCAAAACAATTTTCTTAGGGTAACTGTTTGCAAAGTTAGGACATTTTAACCATTGGCATTTGGAATCAAAATGAACTCTTAGAAATTTCTCTTTCCCAAAAGGAGAGGCAACGGTTTTCTTTCTGGTTTAGTGGGTGGATACATCAAAATGCAAGAAGTGGAAGGATCTCCAAGTAGCTTAGTGTTAAAGAAAAAAGCCACAAATCCTAAAAGTGTGTCCTGCTGGAAGGAAACATGTTGAAGACTGCAGTAATTATAACCTATGAGACACAACCACCCCCCCACACATATTTGAAGAGGCCACAGTCCAGCCCTCCATGCTGGAGACTTCCACCCATTTCAAAGGGAGGTCTGCACCACGTCTGACTGGCTTGGGCTCCCACCCCAGACATTTCCCCAGGTTGAAGATCCACTTACCTGCCTGGTTTGTGGTTACATTTACAGACACAAACTGCCGGGCTCCGGGGTTCTGGTCGGACACTCCGTTCACTGCCTCAATTTCAAAGGTATAGTTTGTATGAGCAAGCAGATCCACCATCATGACAGAGGTGTTTTTCAGGCCGGTTTGCTGGGGGAGGTACCTGACATGACCGCCACACGCCTCACACAGACCTGAGTGTGAGTTGCACTTCTTGCATGCAATATAATAAGACACATCTTTCCTTCCACCAGTATCAGCAGGGGCAATCCATTCCAGAAAGACACTAGTCTCGTTAACATTTGAGATGGCACTCCGAGGAGCAGAGGGGGGTCCTGGTTTGTAAAGTGAGAAAAACACATGGTAAAAACAGTATTATCAGTCAACCTGCTCTCTACTACTCTCTAGGTTGAAAAGAGATGCCCTGTTGCTCACGTGCCAAAAAGAACACGGGGACCATTTGCAGCAGCACCCGAAGAACTGGGAAAATGGGGATTTGTTTTGGACACCCTCACCTCACCTCAAGGGGTCTGTGTTGGGATGCAGCCACCTGCATGGGAGGACAAGACACAGGGTTGGCTCAAACCCAACAAGAGGAGCACTCCACCCTGGGGCATTGCCTCTGGTGCTCTTCTTGCAAAGGGAGCTGCAAATCTTTGCTCTGCCCAAGACACTGTCAGCTTCACCAGGGGCAAGATTCCCCCTCCTCGCTCTATTGCCCCTATATTACTAGCCCTAGGTCCTAAAGAAAGACACATGCTGGGGTGTTCACACTACTTAGGTACTCAACTCAGACGCTGAATCTTTCCTCTGTGTGCACCCGCCTCTCCCCATCAGCTGTTTGGCAACAGTGAAACCTAAGCTTGGGCATCCAAATCACACCTAAGTGAGATGCTCAATGTAGCCCAAAGCAGATGGTGATCTACACAGGCCACTGAAAACATGGCCATATCCGGCTACTCAACGGCAGCCTTCTTGGTCCCTGCCAAGCTCTAGCACGGTTGGTTAGCCACACCACGCTTGCTTATTTTGCCAAGCCGCCCCGCTCAGGATGCCAGCATGGTGCTGGCAAGGCTATCCAAGGAGGAACAGCTGCTGCAGAGCTACCAGAGCTCCTGCAAAAGGTGAGCTGTTTTCCTTCGTCCTGCTGGGAAAGGCCACAGCTGGGCAAGCAAAGCCCACCTGGAGACACCTTCAAGACTGCTTACTTAAGGTGCTGCAAGCTTTTTGTTTTTAACAGGCTTCTGCTGGAGACGAAGGGCAAGCTGCAGATACACCCTGAAGACAATGTGAAAGGAAAAGCAGGAATCTCATACAAGAGATCCACACATTATATGCTCAGGGAATGCTAATGAACGAGGAAGAAAGGGGAAATTCATCAAAGCAAGCCGGGATGGATTTTAGTCACGGCACTACCAGAAGCTATACAGTGAAGGCTGGGATTTTTCCAAGGGAGGTAGAGGAGGGAAGGCAACACACTTCCCTTCGGTTTGAATGAAGCAGTCAAAACCCATGAGCAGTTCCTTGAAAAGAACCCGACAAGTAGCTTTACCAGCTAGAAATCCACACGAATTTAACAGCCTGTCTTAGGCTGTCATCTTCTCATTCTGTTGTGATAATTAAACTCTATTTGTTATTTAAAACAGGCAGTGTTGCAAAAATGAAATTACCTTATAAACCAGAAGCATTTTCCTCTATTTCCCTTTCCTATTACCCTTTTTAAGTCTATAAAATTGGTAACACTGATAAAACACTGTCATGATTTCGACTCAAGCTGTTCTGATTCAATGAGAAACTCGCTGCCAGAGGAAATAAATAATCCTGATATATTTTTTTTTTCTTTGGGGGGAAAAGCAGTTGAAGACAAAACCTAAGTTAGTTTAAGAAACAGCAGATCAGCTTTGTTTTGTTCTGTGATCGCTTCAGATCACTACAAACAGGGAGCAAGCCTCTCGCAATCTGCGCCGCCAGGACCCAGCACTATTTAGCTATTGACACCAAGGTACAGCCCAAGTCAGGACTATTTTCTGCACTATCCTACTCGCACTGATATAATGGAAACTATGAAATTCATCACTGGAGTTGTGTGGAATTACATATATTGCAGTCAGGGTTTTTTTAGTATGTTTTTTACCGGCTAAATTGGCCTATTTCTTTTTCCACTGGATGAATGCCCTTTTACTGCTACCAGTACTCTAGGAAAAAATAAGGAACTCGGGCACAAGAAACACTGGACAATGTATCTTTAACAGGGGATAAATTATTACTTTTGTAAAGTCACCAGAGGTTTTTACTTGCTTTGTACAGAAGCGTCAGCTGCTCTTCTTGAAGTTCCAAAAACATCAACTTCAGTGGAAGTGCTTTGAACCTATAAAATTAGCATTCTCACAGGGGCTCAGAGAAAGGTCTTTAGTAGTCTACAGGTACCTAACAAGACCTACTTGAAGAATCCTGAAAATGCACCTGGGTAAAACTGTGATGAATCACAGCTGGGAGAACAAAACAGTGTTTTAACTTTGGAAGAGGGGGGCCGTAGGTCTGCTAACAAGGTCTGTTTTAATTTCCAACTTCCTTTTGTCAAGGACAAGGATTAGTTTACAGATTTTTTTAATGTGTGTATATATATATATTTTTCATTTGCTACTTTATACCCTAAGCAGGTAAGATTCACCCCTTTTGCACCACGATTTACTGACCAGAGGCAAACACTTTCTGAGGACAGAGATATTGGTATTTTTCTTGATGGACAGCAAACCTGTTGTTTGCTAATGCACATATTTTAAAAATATAACCTGAAAGAGAAATTACCTTCGAGATACAAATATATACACACTCAAAATAAAGTTACCTGTAAACTTTTTCCAAGTAGAATTTACACTAAATACTACAAAATCTTCAGTTTGTCCCATGTGTCAAACTATTACAAGTACTTCCCCAATACGCTCTGAACAGCAATAGGGTTATTTGTCAGAGATGGGAGGGGAAAAAAAAGGGTATAACTTTATGTTTTCATTTTAAAGAGATGTTGTGCAAGGAACTGAAGTTAAGAAGAAATAAAGTGCAATTAAGTCCTGGAAGATACGTAATAATATTAATAGAATTCTCAAATGCCCATCAGAACCAAACATTTTTTTTGTCTGAGGGCAGTAATTATTTCAGACTGCATCACAACACTATTAATTTCAAAATTACCAATCATTACTTATAAAACATGCTTAAGGAATTGGAAAAATTAAATAAAAATGTATTTCACCCCCTCCCCCCAAACTGTACTTATCTGAGCAGTTGACGGTGGTGTAGCAGTTAGTTTTCTTTAGTGATGCTGGTGGTGGTGGGGAGACTCATGCAGCTTGGGACTGAAAAGCATTCGCTTTAAATCAGGAAAATGTGATTTTATAGTTCTACTGACTGGCAGGGGGACTTTGCAGGTGTAGAGTTGAAAACAGACATTGATGTGTTCTCTAAAATTAACTAGATTTCAAGCTGAGGGAATCCTATGAATATTATTAACTTCTGCGGTAAATAATAAAAACATATAAAAAACTTACAATGTTTTCCTACCAGTCATGACTCAAGTCTGTCTCGATTGTGTTTAAGTTCAGGATGAGATGTTCCCTTCCAGATCTAATTGGACTGGTTTAAAACATTAGTGTCGCTACCTACTCTTTACTGTCCCTGCCAAAATCTACTACCCCTGCAGCTGTTCTGGGGTAGCACATTGGCCCTCCTCATCACCTTCAGCACAAATACAGATTAGGACAAAATCCCAAGAAAGGGATTTTGCGTAGGGCAAGCGAGGGTGACTGAAGCACACAGAGAAGGCTCAGATGATCCACTCTGCTTTTGGGGTAGTAAGCATGAATGCCAGCAGAGATGCTGCAACATCCTCAACTGCTGCACCGAGGTTTGCAGTGGGCAAGACAGAAGCTGAGCAGTGCCTTGGTCGGCATTAAATCTCTCATCTGCCCCAGAAGCATTCAGTACCCTGCCAAGCCATATCCTAATACAGCTTCAGGCACCATGCCTGCACTTTAAACTAGCTTATAGTAAGCTTTCAAAACAAAAACCCTCCAAAACAAAACCACCCAAACTTTAAACCTCCAAACAAACTTTAAAAAAAAAAACAAAACCCAAACAAACATAAAAAGAAAATTGCATGGTATTTGCAGAATCAGAAATTACAGCCTTTACCTACAGGATTCAAATTGCACCAGAAACCTGGGGGAGAGAGGCACTCAAATTTAATTTCTTTTTAACATGATCTGGTCACCAAGCTCGCTTGTGCCTCTCTGAAAATCCTGCCCTAAGCTCAGGCCACAGGCATGCATAAACCTCTTCCTGGGGGATGGCAGATCCTTCCCTGTGCTAATTCACCAGCAGGACAGACTGGATGCGTACCCCTCCATCCTGAGAAGGGACAGAGAGCAACACCACCGATGGTGGCAGGAGGCACTGTGGACACCCGCAGTCTGGCATAACTCTGTATCAGTCCCTGGCTTTGGTTCTGCCTGCACAGAAAAGACGATTTTATGTGCGTTTCCAGAGCTCAGAGCACTCCTCTCCCTTCCCATTTCCCAATACCATGCTGGTCCTCATCGTCTCTCATTTATCTATGTTTAAGTCAGGCCAAGGGGCAAAACGGACATCAAGAAGCCCTGGTATCAAAGTTATTCATGCTGTAACCCACCCTAGCTACTGCTCCAAAAGACATCAGCATATCTAATAAACTAAGAAGTGCTTGCGTGACTCACCCCCCCCAGACCGTTTTGATCCTACACCACCAACTACTGCCACACTGCCTAAGGCTGTCTTCTCCTTCCCTGCAGCACACCTTCCGACAGCCATGTGCTTCATGCTCCTTCAGTTGGTGAAAATGAACACAGAGTTCAAGGGCCCCAATTCTGCTCCAAGTGCCTCCTGCGGGCAAGCAGAGACCTGCCGAGGGCAATTTCCTTTGCGAGAGCATCTCTCCAACAGGAACAGACTTTTTCTTTCTCTTCTTGAAGTGCAAACTTGGGAAGCTAGGAAGGACATCTGTATTCACTGGGATGAAGGCACAAAAAGCCACTACTATACCTGCATGATGCAAGGAAACAGTATGGAAGTCACCTCTGCACCATTGCCCAGCAGCTCTGAGCGTGCATGGACTCATAAACCAACTTCTTTCTCCATCACTTAAGTTCCTTGGAAGCTCTACCTGCTCCTGCCCCAGTAGTTCAGCTCCTCTTTGGTCCTTTTTAACCAATTTTGCACCGCAAAAATCACACTCAGCAAAAACCTATGGTCTGTGCTACACTCAGTGGGATTAGCTAGGGGCATGCAAATTGTGGCCCTAAGTATCTGAAACACAAACTGAACAAGAAACTTTCAAGTACAGCTGACGGGATAGCTCACAGATGGCAGGAAAAGGGCAAAATTAGTCATTCTGATTCCATTCTGAGTCCACCTTGGACTCCCAATACTCCAGTTTGCTTGTTATACTACCCTCCCCCTACACCAAGGGGATAAGCTCTACATTTCTGCTACAGGTTTGGAGAAGCAGTTTCCATCGCAGTTCTGAGGCTACCCTGAAGAACGACCATCTCCAGGCAGCATGGAAAGGTAGGGCTCTCTCCCTGCTTGTTGACCGAAAATGAGCTAAGAGATGATACTAAGCAGGACTATATAGACTCTATCCATGCCTACCGCTGACAAGCACTACCCATGATTTCCTCCACGTGCGTGCCCCACACCATGCACACACCGGTGCAGACGTCCAAATGCCATGCTGCTGGCTGAGTCCGCCCATGAGCCGATGGCAAGAGACGGAGCATCTGTTCGTTACAAAAACGTTTCCTGGGTTTAAGGCCAGCTTTTGAAGCAAAAGGCTTCAAAAAGTCTGTTCTCATGTAACCAGGGGTATGGTGGACAAAGCCAGTGACATTACAAGTGTGTCAAGACTAGTTCAGACTCCAGCCCAGAGCCTGTAAAAGCACATTAATTAGGATCATAATGTCTAGTCACAGTACAGGAACAGCTTGAAAGGATTAAAAACAACCCTATAGGCACATGCTTACTTGTACAGGCCATTGTAGGTGGGTCTGATTCCTTCCTAAAATAGTGTTCTTCACACAGGCAAGATGTGGATGCTTCATCAAGCGTGTAGCTGTGAGGGGGACATTTGCTGCAGGATGGACTGTGGGGTGAAGCTTTGAAGAACCCAGGTCTGCATACTGTGAAAAGAAGAACCACAGGCTAAGCTCTCCGATCATAAAATTAGTCTCTTCACATTTCCTTTAAAAAACCAAACCAAAACAAAACATATCGTCAGCTAGAAAACAGACAAAAACTCATGAGCTATTTGGTTTGCATATTTTAAAACAGTCTATGACACTAACAGACAGTACATGCTTAAATATCTGCATGAAAAGAGAATGAGAAGCTGTTGATTATTTTTTCCCCTAGCATCTACCTTTGCTGGGTATTTATTTTCCTTGTTGAATGCATTAGAGGTAACATCTTTTGGGCTCTTCTTTAGAAAACATTATTGTGTTTGGGTGCTTTTTCATTCAGCCTTAGAAAAACAGGTAAAATACATGTCATGGTTTTCATTTAAGATGTTCTACACCCAGAAATCAATGTCTCGGCAAACAAACAGCAACACGGTAGTGGAGGGAATCTCAAGATCGACAGCTTTAAGACATTGTGATAAGGCTACTTCCCTAGGGTCTTTTCCCCTGCAAATGAATTTTAAAGTGCTCCATGTAAGACAGAGTGCTCTGGGTATAGCCTGAACCAGGCATGCTCACCATACAAGATATTCCTTCCAGCTCCAATATATATGCATGACAAGGCACAAAGACTCGATACGAGAGCTATTTTTGTTCCCACAAATATAACATATGGCTAAGGGTAGCTTGGGTTTATTTTTTTTCTTTTTTTTAAATAATTTGAAGTGAATACAGTAATACCTTGTTTCCAGCCTCCTGAAACAAGTGCTCTTTCACCTAAGCAAAGCACTCTGCACTTCACCTGCGTGCGCACGCTCAGCCAGGAGCGGTGACAGCCACAGGTTTGCACGTATCCACCCCGGCTTTAGGAAAAAACCAGTTGGCTCTGTAATCGTACCGTTATATGTAGAATCACAAACCCACTGTTAGCAAAAGGAGGAAAACTTGATTTTCTGTTTGTCTCAAAAAACTGAGACACAGAGACGTGTTAAAGCTGCTACTTTTTTTCCTTCAGAGATGCTCTAAAATAATTCTGCCCAGTATGATATCAACGATGCGCAGGTCTGCTATCAGACTTACAGAAGTTGCCTGGAAATCCCAGAGCCTTTCCATCTGCATTCAAACTCCCCCAGCTGTAATTAGCTTGCAAAGAAAATGAGCTCACAGCAAAAGCCTTAAAATTATCCTACCAGGAGTGTCCCAGACAATCATAGCATGAAGGTCATGTGCTAAAATTCAGCCAGTGGTGACAGAATTAATCTTCACTGTAGATAAAGTATAGGTTTTCACTAGTGATCCCTTTTCCTCTGATGGACCAACTAGGACAACTGCCTCTAAAGCTGTCTCTGCCTCCTGCAGTACCAGAGAAACTCTCTTGACATCTTCCCTTTTATGTCACTAGCTTCTTCCCCAAAGGTGAGACACTTCCACATCAACTCCTAACTCCTAGAGCCAACCAGTAAGTCTTTGCCAATGAAGATCGCTCATGCATCAAAAGGGGTGTGATCCGAGACCATCCAATAGACCTCCCCCACCTCCAGTCTTGCCCAGACCACAAGGCTCTCGCAGCAAGCACCATGCAACCCTGGAGCAGCTCCCAAGCCCACCACAGGCTGTCAGGTCTCTGACATTCATCTGCAGCCTCTCCATCCTAGTCTAGGGGATGCTCATCTCTCCCCAAACCAGGCACCCTCCCACATCTACCCCCAGCTCCCTTTTCTTCCCACAAGACAGGCAGAGAACAACCAGTAGGACCGGAGGGTTTTACAGGTTTTAAAAACCCAATTTCCAAAATTGCTCATCATCCAACTAGTGCTCCATACCTAGGCTGTGAGCTCTGCAGGATGCAGTTCATCTGCTTTGTGTCCATACATCAGGACCAGTGAGCAGACCTAGGGCTGAATTTATTCCTGATGGCTGTTAGCAGACTTGCCACGAGCTGCCCTCATGCTTTATGACACATTCCTCAGTTTCTAGCACAGAGTTAAGTTCTTTTATTTACTCCACAGCCACCTTCAAATGCTGCCCTACCTACAGCAAGGACTTGTTATACAATCTCTGGAGAGTCTTCTGGAGAAGACCAGGTCTCTCTTTTGGAGACCACCAAACAGCTCCTCTCTAGCCTACAATTTGTATTTCAAAGCCAAATCAAACTCACTTGCACACGCAGACCATAGAGATAGGGAAACGAAAGCACAAAAATGCACAACATGTAACAAGAGCAGCCCACGTCTAGTGTGTACTCGATGTAATTAGCCTTCAAAAAAGGACTTGAATTTATCTCATTATGTCCCATCAAGACAGACAGAAAATCATTACGGCACAAGAGTTTACCGTGCTTCTATTTTGTGCAAAGCAGTAAATGCAAAATAAGTCAGTTTTCCTTGACAGATTTTCAACGAGGTGCAGCTTGTTAATGACGGTATGATACGTAGCTCAGCCCAAAGGAAATGTTTGGTTTTCATGAATAAGTACGGAGCCAACAGATGTACAACGCCAATAACCCATGTTTTATTGAGGGATGTGAAATGAAACTGAACTGGACCAATTTTTGTGTAATCTGCAGGTTCCCATGGGTCAGGAAAGTCCCTTCTCTATCCAAAAGGTATCAGGAGGAATATTCAAGAGCATTAAATTACACTGAAGATTTCAACATGAATCTTCATAACAAACAGCCAGCAGAGCAGCATGCTATCATATCTAAGTGAAATACTCTTGTGTCGGTTAGAAAGGAAGAATGCAGGGACAGGAGATGGGATATGCAAAAAGAGGGAGGACAGAAAATAAAAATAAATGCAAGAATTACCACAGGGAGTGGTGGTGTGCCGAGTCCACACCCCTGCAGCAGGTGCTTTGGGGAGGACAGAGGGGGATTTGCAAGGTTCCCCCAGCACAGCTTTCCAGCCTCTCGCAACCAGCGGCTTGGGGACCACTCCTGAATGGAAACCACACTTGCACTACTATGCTCAGGAGCAGAAGCAGCATAGCTGCATGGGTGTTTCAGGCATAACTAGTATTTATTATAATGCTTTTCTCTGTACCCTTTTCTATGTTTGCTTTGTACACCATACAAAGGAGAGGACAGCCCATGAGGCGGTTCAAGCAGCAATCCTCTAATAAACAGGGATGCTGTGATGAAGTGAATGCTGTTAGATGAAAGCTGACCCAGGAACATCTTACGCCTCCACACTGCAGAGCAGGTATCACGGTAGCTGGATGGGCACAGTCTTGGCTGAGCTCAACAGCCAAAAGCAGGGCTGGTACCGTGCCATTCTTCTGCCACTAGTGGCAATGTCTTAGATATTTTGGAAATTGGATTCAGAGCAGAATAGGGCCACAAACAGCCTGCACCTTACCTTGCATGTACCTTGGGTTTTGGTCTTTATCTTACCGTTCCTCTTCTGACAGTCAACCTTACAATCTCTTGATGAAGTATTCATGACTTTATTTAAAATGACATGGGTGTCTGGGGTTTAATTTCTAATTAAATCTTATTTTAGTCTTCTTATATTTTTATCTCAGTATTTCTAATTCAACAGCTCTTGAAAGGATACATAGAGCCAGCACAGTACAGTCACGCACGTAATGGTACTATCTCTCTTTTCAAGGGGGTGGGAAAAGGAGGAGAAACAAGATGAGCCTAAGACTCCCCACAATCTGCTGCAAGCCAGCCGAAAAGAAATGAAATAAAGTTTTAAGCTGTTGATGAGATCTGCTTCTTTCTTCCTAATATTAAAACTGATAACTCCTTAACTGAGTAACAGCCACTGATGTGTGAAAAGAGTCTTTAAATGAAATTGGTTGCTAGAAAAAAACCGAGAGTATTCTTAGACACAGCAAATATACCATAAACAACCTGCTGGTGTTAGGTACAAGTGGGATGTGTTTCTGTTAGTAGCACATCCATTATTAGCAAATTAATTTCACTCTTTTTTAGTAGCAACCACAAAATGTTGCGGGCACAGAGCATTAACATCTGTGCAGCCTTTTGCTTGCACACTTCAGGATGGACCAGAGAGAGATGGCTGCAATGAAGGACTGCACCAAGAGCCTCTCGGGACACCAATGGTGAGCTTATCCCTTAAACTGGCAGCGATCGGATTAGAAACTGGCTTTGTACCTTGCAGACGGGAGCCCCAAGAGCCATGCTGATAGAAACTGGTTCTTTGAACATGGGTGGATGGAGGAGGAATCACTGGTCCTCTTACAATGAAAACTGGCCTCTTCAAACAACATGCTGAAATTTATGTGCTATATCAGTACTAGACATAGTGAGTACCAGTTGGGGGAAGGGTGCGGGGGACAAGCCAATAACATCAAACAGCTGGGACTACTTGACAGATTATTTTCTGCAAGCCTTAACATCAAATGATTTGCAGATGCATCCCTTACCCATCCCTGAGCTTCAGCTGAAGGCTGCATCCAACGGGCAGGGCTCCGCTCCTCTCCTCTCTGGCTGCCCTACACCTTTGATGCACACGGACCCCGAGCAACAAGTGCTGGAAGCAATGACTACCTCCGAGGTTCTCCATATCCGCAAGCATACGTGGCCATGTCGGTAAAACCACCCAATTAATATCAGTGGGAATTTTAGTTTTGTCCCTGAAGAGAGAAAAGCTAGGAAACACGACCCTATAAGCCTTGAAAGCCCAGGAGATATGAAAAAGGTCCAACCTGTTACTCCCTTCGCACTCTTTGTGATGCTGGGAGGATAAGCTCACAGTACTTAAGTGCTTTCATATATCCTAGAAAATAAACAGGAATTACACTGTCTTCCTTGCAGAGCACCAAATTAGTCTCCACAGTAATCAGAAACCACAAGTATAACTCATAAGGCAGCACGGCTAATCCATAAATAAAGCTAACGGACAAAATCTGACAAAAATTAATGAGGATAAGGGTGTCTAGTCTAGATGGAGCACAGGTTACCTAGCTCGAACTGAGGTTTCCTCCCCAAACTGCAAACCCCCTTTGCTTCTCCTTCCCATCCTTTAGTC